AAAATAAATAAAATATTCGATGACCTACATTTTAAAATTAAGATATAAATTTGTATAAAATGATAAACTTATATTTAATATTTTTAAAAATAGATTAATGAACGAAATGTGACCTCAATGTTAAATGAACACCTATAATTTAAAAAAAAAAAAAAAAATGGGCTTGTACGTATGCAATAAGAAACTAAAAACTTCTTCTGTATTTTACATTAAAATAAAATACACTTATTTTTAAATATATATTTACTCGACTGAAAAATAAAAAAAAAACAGTAGTATAAAATATTTGTTTAAATTAAACGGGGAAAAAACAATAATTCTAAAGTAAAAAGAGTAATTTTCAAACTGGTCTGCAGTTTGAACACATGTTAATGGCGGTCATTGAGTTAACATTATAAAAAAAAGCTTGCTATAACGTGGAATAAACATAGAAAAACTAATTCGAGTAATATTTACTCTTCTTAAAAACATATCCTAAAGTTTAAATTAAAATATATATATATAATCATTTAAATTAAAGAATAACATAAAAACATTGTTTTAAGACATAACAAATAATAATGTATCCCTATATATTATTGTGTGAATGATAGGTTTTCTGAAAAGAAAATTCAAAGGTTTATATATGAAAAAATTTAATCTTATTCTTATTTTTACTTAGATATGTAATAACTTTATTTAGCATCAATTTATTATTAAAAAAAAAAAACGATTCTTACGCGTGTAAGTGTAAATATGCTCTATGAGGGAAGCAATTTGTATACGTAATAATTGTAGGGAAGATAAGTAATGTAATGATTAAAAAAACTTACGGAATTCATTTGACTCATCCTTATATACAGAACATTACACGGATATAAACACTTTTACGACGGACATAAATTTAAATATAAGCGATGATTATCAATAAAATTAATTTAAACAACTTCGTTTAACCGTTAGTCAACGTTCAAATCTAAATTAATACTGGAATTATTTCGTTACTAATGAACTTTAACTAAAAACTTCAGTTATAAATAAATTGTCGTTATTAATATTCTTATCATGGAATATATAATTTTACCTGTATTTGAGGATAATAACAAGTATGTGATACAGATCTTGGTCTTGAATAGGCGAAATGTTTCGTTCATACCTCAAGGCTTTTTTAATTATATGAACATATTACTGGTTATTACGTATAATTTTCTTTTTTTTTTGAATCACTTGTTAAATGTATTGTTAAACATTAGAAGCGTATTGTTATTGTTGATTGTGCCAAACATTTGTCTCACTCTACCTGACTACGTGTTAATTGTAATGTAAAATAAATGTAATCTGCAGCAGCACTTTCTTAATTAAGTTTAAAAGCTGTAAGACCTTGAGGAAGTCTTCTGTCTGCCTTAAAAGTCTTCTGTCAGTTCCTATAGTTAGAGAAATGTGAATAAGAGAAGACATTGTAATTATCATCATCGACATATTACTGGATCCAAGAGGTGGCGATTGAGATTATTACTAGACATTTTGAACAAGACAATCCAATTTAGACTGTTACGTTTTGATGTACGTATAAATCCCTTCTGGACAGGCATTGATCCCTTTTTGACAAATAGGAAACTTTCCTGAAACTTCTTTTTATAAATGCAGAATAGAATTAACTACTCAGTCATTGAATTATCAATGTACTATATGATTTAGTAATACAAATTAAGTAGTGTTCTAGGTTCAATAATAATGACAGGACTTATTGTAAAACAATATGTCTCAAAATTTATTTAATTGATATAATAATATATGGTATGATATACGTCATTATGAAACAATTCGATACAATGAAATGCATTGTTTCGTTCCTCTTTTTGGATTTACCAGGCGAAATACTCGATACAATGTTTATTAATTTTTACGAGATAGAATCTTCGTAATCACGAGGGCCACAAGATTGAAAATACCACATCTTCGAATATATGGTTGACTAATTATAGTTTCCATTTTCTTTGTTTTATTTACACTGTATTCGTTCTAACGCAATTGTGCAGTTTACACAGTATATCTACATTACAAACCCTTTATATCCAGTACTGGGATTCCTTTTATATTGGTAAATAACTTAATACTTCAATACTATTTGTGGAAAATGGGCAGATTATATAGAAATAAGGTACAAATATTGATAATAAGAACTTTATTTACGAGAGGATCTTAGGAACGAAAATTGTTGTTACTAGATAATATAAAAACTTAGATTTTTAATAATGTAGGTGTTCTTTTGGTGTTTTATTTTGTGTTCAAATATATCTTGCCTCTCTTAAGATTTTTATTGTTTATATAGATTTCATTATTTCTTTTAAAATAATATACAATTCAATTTTTCTAAATTTTATGTATTAAGTTAATATATTAATAGTTTAGTTTAAGTAATTATTAAATTTATATACAGTAGAAGGAAATATTAGGCAAAAGGAAAAAAAAAAAACTTAAAATATATAAAGTATAATTACAGTGCATTACTTCATAATATATTTTATTATTGAAAGACTTCAAGACGGTCATTGTTTAACTTCATACCTTAAACGTTTCTAAATGATGCGGAAAAATCAAAATTAAAAAAAATTTTATTAAAATCTATCATTATATTTATCAATGCGAAGATTATTTTAAAAGATTTCTTTATTCTTTGGCAATTCTGTTAAAAATTAAATCGATATAAAGTATAAGGAAAATGTTATGAAAACATATAATATTACGACTGCACTTAGCATTATATCACGTTTTATTATTATAATAATTTAAATTTTTATGAATAAAACCAAAATATTTCTAGTCTGTTTATTTTATATTATTTATTATTTTAAAATGTTTTTTTTTTATGAAGTAGTAAATAGTCTTAAAATATTGTATTAGATTTTCCTCGTTTGATAACACTTAAGCAATATATTAAATTATATCAAAACGTAATAAAAAAATAATTTATTAAAATATTTTAAGAAAATTTAAACTATGCAATTTCTTCAAGGTATAAAATTAAATATGTTATATTAAGGTACAAATAATTACGATTTTGTTTTATAAATTCAAACAACTTTAATAGCTATTAATCAGGCTTTAGGATATGAAATTAAAATTTTTTTTTTCTTTGGAGCAATAAACGCTTGAAGAATATTAATTAAGGTTAAATTAATATCTTTAAATGGATCAATATCCTGTGTATTATTATTTTTTCTTTCTATAAATATAATATTTTAAACTTTAAAAGTAAAATTAATTGATATTTTATCACTTTTATTCATATCAAAAACATATATCAATCAAGATTTACCTTATTATATGAAATTTTTGTTGTTAGAACATATCAAAATTTTAAACTTTATATATATATAATACGAAAGAAGGAAATGAAAAATAGAAATACACAGGGAAAAAATTATGTTAATAATAAATCTAAAATATAGTCAGATAATAAGAGTAAGGCATTGAGAGTTTATCATCTGGAAGAGAGAGTTAGTAAATACAGTATAAAATTTAATCGATTTAAATACAACTCAACTGTAAAAATTTATTTTATTACCTATTGTAAAAGATCAACATCTGTTTCTGATTTTTATTATTTGATTCTAGTAATAGGATATATTATAATATAACATTGTTTATGATAAGGAATCAATGTTAAGTTTTAGTTGTTAGGAAAATGAATAAAATATTTTTACATGAATAGTTTTAATATTAAGCATGATAAAAAGCAATATTACAAAATATTCTACCGGTAGTAGATTTATGAATAGATAATTTTTGTAAATAATTGTAAATTAATGATTTAATATAAGTTAAATTTCCTGTATGAAAAGAAAAAGTGAATGTTATGATTAAATTATTTCTATATAATGACATGAAAATTAAGTCAACTTCCTTGTTTGTCTTGTACGAAATTTATTGCAATTATTATAATATAAATACATTTTAAATAATTCAATAAGAAATAATACAAACAATATGGGAATTATAAGTAAGTTTAGTACATTAACACATAAAGTGATATATTCATTAAATAAACTAAAAATAATAAGTAAATAAATAATAAAATCATATGTATTTCTTTATATTTTATATTTTATAATTTATAAATTATTAAATATGGTGATAAATGTATATATTGTTCTAGGATCTACGTGTAGGGGGTTCTGTTTTTCTTAGACACATTGCGCCATCTGTTATTATGAAAGAAAGAATTGAATTAATTTAAAACAATGCATACAACACAAAGGAAAATTATAACAAATAAAACAAAAATAAAATAAAAATTCTATACGTCACAACGTGCTATGTCTGGCGTGCGACGAGACGGTAATATACTAATAATGTTTTAATTAAATAAAAGTTAACGAATTCGAATTTATTTCTAAAGTTAGATTTATAGATAAGGGAATTTTCTAATTAATTATTCATTAGAGATGCAAAAAGCACGACCCTAGAGACCACGGGCCTATTCACTATCACTACCCCTTCTGACTGATGATATGAAATCATTTCTGCTTATGTAAACGGTATCTTTATTGATAATTCATTGAATTAGAACGACAGATGTGATGTATTGTACACTCTTGCTAACACTTTATGCAACCGAATAGCGAACTTGGTGGTGGCCATGTTCATTTATAGGCATTCGTCAATTGCGAATTGTTAAATTTGATGATTATTTAATGATTTCATTAAGTGTAATTTTAACAAAGTAATTAGGGTTTTTGTATTGTTTAACATATTAAAATCACAGATTCAACATAAATAAATAATAATATAACAACATAACAACATAAATAATAATATTATATGTTATTATCTAGTGGGATAGTTGATATATATGTTCAGATGTATTATATATTTGTACTAATTATATAAATGACTGTAGTCTATGAGACACGCTAAATATATTTTACAATAAAAGTAAATAATAATAATAAAAACTATTATAAAATTAAATCAAATTTATTAAACATTTAAAAAATAAACAATACAAATTGCGTTATTTGTATAAAAGTGTTAGAATTATTTATTTGAATATAAGTGATAACATGATATTTACATAGGTGAACTTCATAATTATGATATTTGAATTTCTTTTTTATTATAAAACACATTCTCTTTCGAATATTTCAGCATTATTTTTTATCAAAGTAAATTCTTTCTTCGATGGTAAGTGTTCATCTTTAAACGATAAGGATTTGTCAAATTTTCCTAAAATACTAAGAAATACTGGAATGACAAATAATGAATGAAATGCAGTTTGTAAAGCTATCAAAAAAATAAATTTAAAAATTCCTTGCGTTACATAGAATGGTAAAAACGCTAAAACTAATACTCCTATAATAGTTGATAAGGATCCCTGCATAATTGGAAAACCAACTTCATATAATGCTTTTTTTATCCTTTCATTCGAATTCAAATTATCAGTTCTTGTGAAAACAAAAGAAATATGTGTTGGATAATTTATAGAAAATCCAACACATAAAATAAATATGGTTACAGTTAACATATCCAAACTAACTTTCCATAAACTAATGTAACCTATTGTTTCTAATATAATACAAAATATTATTGAAGATACACAGAGAGAACAAGTAAAATTTGGCACGAATATAAAGAATATTAAGCTTATTAGTGCCGCACTTAATAAGGCTACTCGAACAGTCATACCCATAATAATATTTGCTTGTTCTAATAAATGGAATAGAAAGCTATGTATAATTATTGGAATCGGTGAATTGTCAACAATATCGTTAAGATCTTTCAAAAGTTGCAATTCGGTATCTTGATTGTATATATCCATGGTAGGAATAAGAAATCGACTTGCAATTATATCAGTAAAATTTTCATTGAAAGCAATATCCAGTGCAAATTCTTTTGCCTGATGAAATTTCAAAAATACAAAACGTAAACCATCGATAAAATCTTGTTTGTCAGTCATATTATATCCTCGAAGTAGAAATTTTCCGATTGGATGAGTCATAAATAATTTATAATATTTTAACCATGATAATCTTAACGAAGAATCTGCAATGTGTGGATGTTCTTCAAATTTCTTAATTATGTCTTCAATTGCATTCTGTACATTTTCGTCTGCATAATTTAATGGTTGATTAAATACTATATGCACTGGATATGAATACTTTCCAAAATCTTGATATAACGAATTTGCAAAACATGTAACCGAAGAATTATGTTTAAAAAGATCGAATATATTACCCCCTGGATGAATTTCTAATAAACCCCAAATACCAATTCCGAGATTAAGCATAAATGCTATAATTACTACAGCTTTTACTTTATTATTTATTAAAATATCTCCCAACTTATCTCTGAAAAATGCCATAAAGTAGTCCTCCCGTTTAGATTCTTCTTTTTTCTGTTCTGTAACAAAATATAAAATGTGAGTTTTTAGTATTATTTAGTTATAATTTACATCACATTAGCTAGATTATTTTATATTTAATTATATAAACAGTGAAGTTTATTACTAATAAATAAGATCTAACAGGAGAATAAGAAACAGTAATAAACAGATCATCTTGTAATTCCAGCAGTAGATTTAATAAATCATAACGTTTTCGACCTAATACAATAGGTCTTCCTCTATGAATTATCCCATTTAAAATAAAGGAACATAAGAATATCGAATTCAACGGAAATAATTTAAAAATTAAAAGGTGTTCTAAAGAGAACACTATCTTAGAGGGGGGATAAACATAAGCCTGAAACCCACATACGGCCGATTGTTGAAAAATGCTCTTCTCCTACTTGAATTGTCAGGTTTTACAACAACATAACAGCGCATTATCCATTCACCGTTTACAATTTGATAAACGTAGCATTGATGGACGATGAATACATGACAGTAATGGACTTCCAGTCTCTCTTCTCGTCTGTTAAACTATCTCAGTGTTTCTGCGTTCTTAGATGGGCACGTTCCACGTTGGTAAGTATGAAGTTCCTAAAGACTTCCTACTCACCAACGTGGAACATGCTCCCGAATATCGCAAATACATTCTGGAATTGGCCCATTTGGTATTTTACACTTCCTTTTTCTCATTTAATAATACAGTTTATGTACAGGGAAGAAGTGTTCCCATGGACAACCCACCCGCGATCATTTGTAAACTTGTTCGCAAAATTGAAAAAAACAGATTCCGCCAATGTTTTTATAGTAAATCGTGGTTTACGCTAGGTATGTCAATGATATTTCTTTGTGGTGCAAAAAAACCAGACTTGAATCTGTTTATAAACAAACTGAACTACAATCCTTATGGTCTTCTAAGCTTAGAGCAAGAAAGTGACACTTCGGTCAATTTTAGACATATTTGTCACCTGTAAATATGGCGTAATTCACACTAATATTAATATTTACCGTAAGCCCATAGACCAACTTATTTTCCTTAAAGCCCTCAGCGTTCATGTTCTTAAAACGACTGTCCTATACCCATTTCTCTAATATAATCGACATTTACGTTGAACTTGAAAGAATTGACGAACAACATGGATTTCCTACAAATTTAATACATAAATTAATTAGCGCCTTTAAAAACAAAAGAGCTACATCTAAGAGGAGAATTGCGATACATTATTTTCCCATGTTAGGACGAATACGTAAAGAACTAGCCCATATAAGAAATGTAAACATTGTATATAACCTTAATCCGACGGTCTTTGGAACCCTAACACTCTTAGGTTCTTAGAAACGTTGAAAATTTTTAAAGTCAACCAAAAATTATTTTGTATCAACCATAAGGATGCTGATACCTTACCTACCTTACCCTTATGTTCTTTTATTTTAATTAAAGAAATAAGTAATATATGAAGTTACTGAAGAGACGTATAATTTAAAAATATAAACACTTACCGGTTGTAGATAACTTCCTAAAAGTAAAAGGATGAAGCTCGTGTTTCTCACGATAGCCACTAAGTGCAATACAGGCTCCAAAAAATGTTAATTGATAAATATATGTAAAAAACATAGCGCTGGCACTAAATGAACAAAATATTCTCATACTGGGAAATGGAGATGATACACCAATACAAAATGATATAATATTTGTGAGAGACGTTATTGTAATCGAAATTGCAGCTTCTGAAAATGTTTCACCCATTCTTTCTTCCACACTTTTTTTAGAATCTGTTTTTCGCCACGCTGCTATTAGTACAAAAGCATCATCAATTTCTGTACCTGAAATAATTAAAATAATTTTTTTTTTGTTAAAAGAATATATTAAAGTATAATAATATTTAATTATATAATAACATACTTAAAACAATATAAGCAGAAGCTGGAATAAAATCTAAACATTCAATATCCATGTATAACGTGAGTCCATATCCGGAAATGATAGCCAATCCAGCAGAAATGCAGGCAGATATACCAAGCCAAGGTTTACTTCTAAGCCAATCATTAGACATGCAACTAATAAAAGAAAATACAGAAACAGTAGCAATAACAACAGATATCAATGGTAACACTATTTGACTAAAGGCGGCTAATTCTTCTTCAACATCTTCCGACGATAAAATGTTTACAATTATATTGTCAAAGATTTTAGATTCAATCATTTTAACGAACTTTCTTTGCCATTGATTAATTAATATAGTTTTTGTCGAATTATTAGTATCTAAACCATAAAATAATCTAGCTGCTTTTATCTCTCTGACAAAACCTTGTTTATTCACATCAACGTTTCCTATATATAACATAGACGGTTCAAAATAAAATGTAACGTTATCTATATGTAAAGGAAATTTAATATTTTGTCTTCCTTTACTTATATCTTCAAAATGAGACATCATTTGTAAAAATGAATTGCGTAAACACTTATTTAATCTAAAAGCGCATAGATCAGTATATTTTACAATACTAACTTCTGAATTTACAGTTATATTTTGTACAGTTTCATCTAATCGTTTAATTTCTTTTGATATTTCTTCCTTAAGCAATGTTCCACCATCTTTAGCAATTATTTGTAAAATTATTATATCTTTTCTTTCTAGTATGCGAGCAACATCAAAGAATTCGGACGTATTCATAGGAAAAAGAGATTCTACAATATTTTTACTACGATGTGCTCTTCCATTCTGAGCCATAAACAGATAATCTGCATCTCTATTAATTTTCAATTTTACTACACTCGGACAGAAAAGAGCAGTTAGGAGAATAGGTACTATTAAAAAATACAGCGGTTGTCTTCCTATTAATCTTCCTAATCGTGAAAATTGAGAGGAGAGAATTTGTTGAAAGCATCTGATATTCATTTTCCAAACTGAAAAATAAAAAAAAATATATGTATATAATTTCGTTATTATTTCATATTATTATATATTGTATATTATACTATAGGCAATTTGAAGAATAGTTTGGTATATACAGTGTAAATCTATATAATCAGAATAATGATGCATTTTAAATACAACTATATATATATAGATCTACAGATTATTCTATATTCTATTTACAAAAAAGTTTATTCTATCTATCTATAAATTATAATCTCTTCTATTTAAAATTTTAAATAATACCTATAAATAAAGTTTTATTTTAGATAATCTAACGAGGGGCTTGCCTCATGGAACAACTTTCTACGGAAAACTGACACCTATTTAAGTGTTATTAACGTGAAGAAAATAAGGAAAATTCCACCTGATTAGCCAATTAACTACTAGTGTTCAGTGGTTTTTTACCCACTCGACCATTGGTGAGCCTTACAAATAAGATAAATAACTAATTACCTTATCTATAGATATTAACAAATTTCGTTTAAAGGATCCCACGAAAATCAAGAAATGGATTTAGGTAGATTTTGTACAGCTAATGGTCCTGATCGAAAGTGTCAATACACAAAAAGTCAAAAAATAAAGAATTTTTGAGATTAAACAGGTGAATGAGTGAAAAGTGACTCCGTTGACGGTGCTTGTGTTAATTATTATATATTCATTTTTGTAAAAATTATTAGCTAAACTAACAGTTTATATCAGTTTATTTCGATAATTATAGTATTCCTATTCAACGTTGTCCTATTTCTTATGTGGCATTACATGACATTTCCGTAAAATATAGTGTCAAAATCCATCATTATGAAACTTGATGATTTGCATCCGTGTGATTTTTGATTATGAAGATGTTGCAAATTTGGAAAATTTGGCCTTGTAGCATTAAAAAAATATATATATATATATATATAGATATCGCTCATATAACACGGTAGTTACGTGCCGTGTTATGCATATAAGTGCTATACGAAACAAAGGACTAATGCAAAACATGGTGTTAGGTTGAAGAAGTTAGCAAAAGTATACTACTCTTTCTCGTTACTAACAGAAATATGCTTAATATATAAATAATATGTAAATAAGGATGACCAAATAAAAATATGTTAGTTGTATTAATCAAAAATTTGTTCTAGCGGGTAACGTTTGTTCAGTCGAGTACCGAGCGACTTTTTTCCAGAATTTGTGTTCGAATACCGAATTGAACGTTCGAATACCGAGATACCGCAGTATTTCGTTCGTCATTTTACGAATGATCGTTTACCTACAGTTAAAAAAAAGTTTAATAACACTCACCTAAAAATGTCGAAATAAACTTTACTAAATACGAAGATTAACAACATTAAAAGCAATGAATTGTTGCATACGTGAAAAAACTAATATACCTTCACTAAATGTTACTATTATATCCTTGACATAATTAAATATTTAAAAAAATTATTATCGTGAAAAATAATTTCATTTGCAACACGATAGACTATCGAAAGCGTTAGTTTATGCACGCCGGCCATAATCGTCATTTATTCGCAAAATAGAAGCTTATCTCCCACCCATTGAGCTGTAATTATCAAAATTTAATAACATAAATCTTCCTAATATACAAATCTCTATGCGAAATTTCNATAGTTAAAACTCCGTGCGAACAAACCTTTAAAATTTTGTTCGTATAAAGGGGCTGCCCATGAATGACGTCCACATTTGAAAAGAGGGAGAAATTTACAAGTCAGTTGTATTCAGACAAAGGGAATAAGACGAGGGGTTGAGCTTCAGTAGACGTCCATTTATTTCATAAAATTTTATGCAGTTTATGTATTTTATTATATTTATTTTAAAATTTTTTATGTTTCGTTTCTATTTATATTATCTATCATTTATAAAATGAGAAAGGTTTTAAGGGAGAGTCGAGTTTTGTTAGACGTCGGAAGAGGGGTGAGGATTAGGAAAACGTGGACAAAGAGGAGGGATGGGGGAGTAAAAATTTTAAGAAAACTGAAGACGTAATTTATGGACATCCCTAAAAAACCATTTATTAGTATCCTAAATAGCAGAAGTATTACCATTAACCAAAACACAGGCTATCTTGATGAGAGACAGGAAAGAGATAATTGAATATTGATAAGTTTTCGTTAATTTAAAGAGTGTGTTTTTAGTTGTAGATAGTTTTTCTCATAATGTTTTCATTTTCTCTACAAAATATCTACAGAATATATGAACTAAGCTTTACAACAGTAGAAACTGTCAGTATATAAAGTCATCTTTCTAGATTAAGAGAACGAGCTATAAGACATTGACTTCTATCTTTTATATTTTAAAAATATGTTATGAATATTAAATATTTACGATTGCATAATTTTTTTATTCAGTAAAGCAATTAACATCATCATTGTAATTCTAATTTTGAATATTTTAAAAACAAGTTTTAGAACGTGAATTAAATTTATAAAGAAATAATACAGATAAGATTAAATTGAGAATAGAAAATATTGAGAACACTTTTACATATCTTATTGCATTATTACATACGATATAATTACATTACGTGATATTTAAGATTTCTTAAATGAGAAGGTATTTAAAAGTTCTTCTGTCCTTATATAATTTTTTTTTCTTATACATTTGTTATCTAAATTCATAAAAAATACATCAGATAAGAAATAAGCTGGTTTACAAATTAAACATATATCGAACTGTGAATGTTAGTAGGTCAGAAATCGAGTTTTTATCATATTATTAACAGAAAAGTAAATTGCCTATTTTATAAAACACACCTACCTTCTGTTCGTAACAAATAAAATTAAAAACGCCTTTCACTTAAAAAGTATTAAATTTGTGTTTATTAAATCTACGAAAAACAAAATAAAAGATCTTGTATACAAGAGTAAAGTTGTAAAATTAGAAAAATGTATTTAAATTTAATATTTTCTAAGAAATATAATAATAAATAACTATGTAAATTGTCAGTAAAAAATATCTAGCAACGTATATATCTGTATAAGTTTTTAAGAAAACACGTGTAAATATACACGTGTTTTCTTAAAAAAAATTTGGGGAAAAACCTGAAAAGTAGTCTGAAACAAATAACAATGTTATAAATTATTTATATTTTTGTATTATATAAACTATTTTTATATTGATGCTGACGTAAAATACATAGAAATTGTTAATGTGTCTGTTATCGTTTCACCTTGACTTTTTGATGTGTGAATAAGAAAAGAAATTTCCATTTTAAATATTAATCATCATTATCAGTACCATCGATTCTAATTAATATTAACTACTAATTAATATATATATATATATATATATATTTTAATAAGAGTTTTATATCTATAACATCATTTTTATAACCTTTTCATCGAATTTTTTTAACTTTGACTTGAATATCAATTTATATTATATGTATTAACATGAAATTATATATTTTCTTAATGTTTTCCACTATATTGAAGCATTAAAAGAGCTTACAAACATACAATATAACTTGTTCGAGATGAATTTTAAATAAATATTTGTTGAAATTTAAAAAAAAAAGAAAAAAAAAGGCAGGAATCATATTAAATATCAGCATAAAATACACTGTTCATTGTCCCTCGTCTATCAGGTGAATCAATTCTTAGAAACTAATTAAATTAATTTATTGCTCATTCAGAATTATCCAGAATTTTAAAAATATTGGTTAAAGGGAGATTTGGGGGGGACTAAGACACCTGCTTTTTGTCTTTTTTCGGAGAATGTTATTATTACTCAATTACATTAGAATTAATTTAGTTACCTAATTGAAGTCATGCAATATATGTTATTACATTTAGATGTATTTTAAAGTAATAAAATCGATTGCTTTGGTATCAAGGAGTCCTCTTTAGCATCATAAGCACACCTCTTGTTCATTTAAATTAATATTAACAGTTATTGCAATTAATATTGATTAATATCACCTAGAAGCTGACTACATATTGAACTTCTACTATAAAAATTACCAAAGAAATTGATTTCAATCATTAAAGAAAGTCCTCTTTTATTACTTTCATATAGTAATAAAAAAAACTCTGCTATCAATGAACTTTTTATTATCACGATAAGTTATCAGTTATAATATTTTTCCTCTTACGTGTTGTTTATCTAAAAAAAGAAATTATATAACGGTTTATATTTGTTTATAAATATCGTTAGTATAATTAAATCTTCAATTATATCAATTTTTAAATTTTCCATGTGTAATTAAAACAAAGATGTTATTTAATAATTTCTGTATGTTTGATAAACTAAATAATTATGATCTTGTAATTACGTATAAGACTTTCAGTTAATATACTTTATAATTAAGATATTAATAAAAAGATTCCAAACAAAAACTAGTTTAAGTAAATTACGTAATAAGAATGACATAAATCTTTGACCTGTTCAACATTTATTATAATAATGGCTAATATTCGAACTTCTGAAGTATTATTTTAAGTATTTTTTTTCTATGTTATGTCTTTATACATTTGAGTAAGAAATAAATTAATCATAATATATCGATTTATTGTTATTTATGTAACAAATACATTCGTTGTTGTTAAAATAAAACATAAAAATCATTCAAGTGTTCTATGCACATAGGATTCAATTGAAGGATTAATTCTTTAAGTCTGTTTGAATCTTAATTTCTTCAGGCTTAATTCTATTTATTTAAGAAGAAATATTTATTGTTAATTTTCATTTAATGATTTAATTAAAAGTTATCATTTCGACAGTTATTAAATGTTCTAAATTATCGATTACGTATTGACACATTTCTGATAACTTTACTACAGTTTTCTATAGAAGTTATTTTTTTTTAAATTCTATAATATAGAACTTAGTTTAATGGTGTTAATAATTTTCCAGAGACCTTAATATTTTGTCTTCATATTACGTCATACTTGTGGATGTAGGCTTTTACATAAAATTATAAAATAAACACGCACATAATAATAATGATAATAATATATTCTATAATATTTTTGTCTTTCTTTAAAAAACAGTTTAAAGAAATCATAGATTATGTTCATAAAATCTATTGTTAAGAAATCAATAGCAATTGTCTATACATTATTAATTTCGCAAATTAATATATAATACTTTTATGTAATCATTTATTTATCATTAGAGAAAATAAATACATATAAAAGCTATAATTTAAACAATTACTTGAAAGAAATTACAAAAAGAATGAAAGAAAACTTTAAAAGTTATACAAATTAATTCTATAGGCTAATAATAAAAAGATATCATGCCTCATATTTAAAAATACAATAAGTTATTATAATAAATATTTATTATTTAAATTTTTATTAATATAATTTAATTATGATTATTACTTACCCAAAAAGATAATTACATGGATATCGAAAGATAAATTTTACTTATGTGTTATGGGGTTATTATATTATGACAATTGTCCATCTTATTTTAATGTTTTACTTTAAAATGAAAATGGTAGAATGTTACCATAAACTTAATCACTCGAAACAATTATGAGAACTTTACTAGAGGCGCCACAGTAATTTACCATTTTTGTAGGCTATGTCATATCTTGTTCCACTTATTCATTGCCCCAGATTATATACAAATTCCAGAAAATAAATTCAGATTCGATATACCGATAAACATTACAATATGAAAGTATTTTTAATTCATTCAATCATTAATATATTGAAATAATTAATAAACTTTTCAAGATATTCATATATATATTCTCTATTGAAAAATTAATACTTTATCAATGATAAAACATCTTAATATAATCAAAATTATATATAACAGAAGCGATCGGTCAAAAACAATGACCCCCAAGATTTTTACATTTTTTAGACTTAGGACATCTTGAAATGTCGAGAAATGCAAAAATATTCTAGGTTTTTTTTTCCTATATGTTAGTGTTAGTCTGTACATGTGGAAATACATGCGGTGTATATATTTGTTCACCTATTTTGAAGTTTAATAACTCCCATACCTTTCGTCCAAAACTTCTAAAATTTTGCAGGAAGGTTTGTGTATTAGTAGTATTAATGCTATTAAATTTTGGTAAATAAATGTCGAGAGGGTAGAAAGTTAGAGGGGAATCATGTGTCATATTAGGAGTAGAGTAGGACTTAATAAACATTATTAGCATTTACATGTTTTATTTTTAACGAAACTCGTCTCTAACTTCAAAGCTAAGCTTTTTGCCATTCTATAATACTTAATAATTCTAAAAATTTTTAAATAAAATCTCATAACAGGTAGTACAACACGTAATTTTAACTTTTTAGCCGGGAAAGTTACGCAACTTGTGGATTTTTTTTTAATATAAAAACGATTCCAATTCCCAGATTTAAAGATGAAAATTGGCATATTACATTACATGCCTGCCTGATAAAGATTATATTATCAATAATAATTAACAATAATAGATAATATTTTAGATAACATTATAAGTTAATATACAGTACAACTATTGTTAATAATTATATATTAACTTATTACAAACTTATTTTCGAATGTAATAATACTAAATAATTATAAAAACAAATTATATAGGTTAAAAACGACTTTTTTTTTTAAATAAATTTTATTTATAGATTTATTAATTAGATTAGTATTTGAACAACGTCGTAAAGAATTGAATTAAATCTAACTCTTTCGCCATCAGAAAGATTTGTTTTGCGTCATTATAGTTTATCAGGTGAGGTTTATAGGATTAACAAAATAAATTTATCTACATTAATGACCTATTTAATATCAACATAATTAAATTAGTTATTAATTAATATATATTATTTTAAAATATTGATTATATTTAATCAAAATACGATCACTTAAATATTAAAATGTCAAGGTGAATTCGAGTTGAATAGCTTTAAAAAAGAAAAAAAAAATCTTACGTTTTATTAAGAAATAAATTTAATTTTAGAAAATTTCTGTAATAAATTAAGATAATTAATAACTCTTTAATTAAATCATCTGATTAAGATAGTATGGTATTTAGGCATCAAACCAGTTGAGGACCTACGCAAGGTTACATATTTTATAGTCTTTAGTTTGAAGTAATTTCATTTGAAGTAGCTTTATATATTTACTGTTGACGAGTAAATGATTGAGAAATTTCAGGAAGAGAAAGAGAAAACAGAGAGAGAGAGTGTGTGTGTGTGTGTATGTTAATATCACATAATTATTCATCAAGATCTGTTTCTATAATTACAGCATAAATATAATATTATAGAAAATAATATACTTATAACATATAAATTTTATAAATAACTTACACTTTATAACGTCAGCTTGAATAATTGTTTTCTAAATGATAAATACATATTACATTAATTAATACATTTACTGTATTTGTCTTACATAATAAACAAAATATAAAAATTAGATTGTGGAATTCCGTATCATAAACAATAAAGAAATTTTCTTTTCTATGTAAAACATAAAAATTGATCTAATTTATGATGAAAAGAGACCTATTATTTCTATCAGATAAAGAAACTCGAACAGATACAATGGAATTATTAAATGTAATATTAAATTTAAAAAATTAAATGCTTCTGTTAATCTTTTTGATTTAAAATCTTGCAATTATGAATTCTCATATTGAAAAAAAAAAAAAATAGGACAGATATATTATAATAAAACAATCATCATCAGTGACAAATCGAAAATGAAATGAATATAACCTATATTAATTTTACCCCGAAAAAAATGCAATGTATGGAAAAAAACGTTATCATCAAAAGTAAAATCTTACATAATTTTGGGAAAAAGAGAATTAAACTACATTAATTTAATTAATTTAATTTTCTTATGCAGAAATAAACGATATCATTTGCACGCAATCAATATACTGTTTTTTCTATATAATTAAAAAAATAACTTATGAATAATTACAAAAAAAATTCATTATGCACTTACCCTATGTAATTTGTTATATGAAGTCACCAAGTTTGGTTTATATAGGGTACAGAATCCTGACGTTGTTCAAACTTAACCGGTTTTTCCTCTAGGGTTTAAACAGAATGCAGAAATTTTGAAGTAGACGATGTGATTATTCCCCGGTTTGTTTATGTATAATAAAAATGTGATAAATACCATAGGTAAAAAGGAAAGAGATATAGGAAAGTTCTGTATAAATGTTTTAAAAATTACTATCTTTATTTAAATAATTCTTTGAACTTGACATTTAAGTAAAATCATTTTATTAAGCAAGGATAACATTTTATATAAATAACAATATTTAAAATTTTTTATCTACATAATTACTTAATACATTGTATAAATTATTTAAAATATCAGAAATATTTTAAATACACTTGTTTAAAAAATGTAGACAATATATACTATAAAAATGTTTTTTGTAACGTGCTGTATTGTTCGTTATATTATTGTGTTATTGTTCTCTACTCAGTTTCTTGTTTGTTGCCTCTGCATAGTTCATAGATGTAGTTTAATATACAGTCATTCCTCTCTAAAAAATAATATAAAACGAAGAGAAATGCATCTCTAAAATGTAAAGAAAACAAAGAATCAGAAAGGAAGATTGTGTTAGTGTTTGTTTTTGTTTTGGGGACAAGTATGAAAATTTTTTATATTTTTACTTTGTTTTAGTAGTCAAATATATATATATATATATATAGATATCGCTCATATAACACGGTAGTTACGTGCCGTGTTATGCATATAAGTGCTATACGAAACAAAGGACTAATGCAAAACATGGTGTTAGGTTGAAGAAGTTAGCAAAAGTATACTACTCTTTCTCGTTACTAACAGAAATATGCTTAATATATAAATAATATGTAAATAAGGATGACCAAATAAAAATATGTTAGTTGTATTAATCAAAAATTTGTTCTAGCGGGTAACGTTTGTTCAGTCGAGTACCGAGCGACTTTTTTCCAGAATTTGTGTTCGAATACCGAATTGAACGTTCGAATACCGAGATACCGCAGTATTTCGTTCGTCATTTTACGAATGATCGTTTACCTACAGTTAAAAAAAAGTTTAATAACACTCACCTAAAAATGTCGAAATAAACTTTACTAAATACGAAGATTAACAACATTAAAAGCAATGAATTGTTGCATACGTGAAAAAACTAATATACCTTCACTAAATGTTACTATTATATCCTTGACATAATTAAATATTTAAAAAAATTATTATCGTGAAAAATAATTTCATTTGCAACACGATAGACTATCGAAAGCGTTAGTTTATGCACGCCGGCCATAATCGTCATTTATTCGCAAAATAGAAGCTTATCTCCCACCCATTGAGCTGTAATTATCAAAATTTAATAACATAAATCTTCCTAATATACAAATCTCTATGCGAAATTTCAAAAATTTTCGACAAAATTAACAAGAGTTATTAAGCTTCAAAGTAGCAAAACATAATCGTGCCACAAATAACACAATAACATTCATATACGTACAAAAATACCTCCAAACATTTTTGCATTTCTCGACGTTTAAAGTTCATCTGAATCCATAGAAATAAAAAAATTACGTTCTAAAACATTTAAAATAAAATAAAAATACATGTAATACAGAGTACTACATCTGTATGAAGGAATACAACAGTTTAGACCAGATCAAACTGTGATCATTGTTAACTAATTCTTGCTTTAGTTTATGTTCATCATAAGATTTTCGGTAATATTTCTTAGATTTTCACAGTTAACAGAGAGTATTGTATGGATTTTTATTTCTTAATAATAACGGAATAATTACTGGTTTAAGCCACAAACTGTATTACGCTTTCGATGTATGTGTAGAAGCAGGCCAGGGCCCGCTCTAGCGGTTACGTCACCCCGGACAAAAAGACAAATTGCCGCCCCTTAAGAATATATATACAGTATATATATATATGTATATATTTACTTTTCATAGACACAATGTAGTGACACTTTTTAAACATTTGGCAGATTATTCATCTTTTATTACTTTGGCAAAACCTAATAAAAGATGAATAATCTGCAAAGTGTCACTACATTGTGTCTGTGAAAAGTAAAAGAAAATAAAAAAACACGGTTTCATTGGAATAAAAGAAATATATATATATATATTTAAATAAAGGTACATATTTTTTATTTTCAATAAAAATCAAATCATTTTATTTAAATTTTAATAAAAGCATATATTTAGAAAGAAACATAGGCCTATAACATAACTGATAATCAAGCAGTACAAGACAGTAGAAATTAATTAAGAAATATCTGTACCTAGCCACAAATTGTTAACCATATAATTTTTTACATTTTTGAATGCTATTAAAAATGTATTATTGCACAAACAATCAAACTGCCATTATTTTGAAAATAAAACAAGGTAACATCAACTATGCTAAAATCACAAAAAACTTTTTTTCTTACTTTCAGTTCTGCAAACTTTTTTATTGCATCTTTTAAATTTACTTGATCAGCAATTTTATGCTCAATTGCCAACATGGCCAAATTATTAATTAAGACGATTTTGTGTAGTAGCCGAACGTAAAAAGTTCTTAATTAATTTTAACTCAAACTCCTTTCGCCACTTGCTACAGTTATTGGTATCGTTAGCAACATTCTTAAAGCAATAGTAAGATTTAGGACAAAATTTAACTTTATAATTAAGCTCAGTACATTGCTTAGGCTTTCTCTTTTGTCCAAAAGCGCAGATACTGCTGAAATTTCTTCTGCTAATTCTACCCCATTTATGTCAACAGAATCATCATCAGTTAAAATGCATTCTAAATTCTTAGTATTTTAGTAGCATTTCTTTGGTCACGACATTTAAATCGTATATATTATATAAGAATTGAAAATAATTACTATGATTACTAACTTGTTCAAATCTAGCATCTAGTGCATTTAGTGCTTGATCGATTGTAAAAAGAAATCTATTTTATATCTTTCTTTTGGATCTTTGATGGGTTCATCTCGTGTTTCGTATAAGTTCCTTTTCCTTCTTCTAACGTGGTGTCGTGTTATTGTTGATTCAAAATTAGCCTCCACATCAATTTCGGTAGCAAGTTCTTTTGCATGAATAATAGTTTTATCGAAGGACGAATCCGATCGAAGATTCTTAAAAAATATTTTGCAGTTTTGTAAAAGATCAAGTGCAAAAGATAGATCAAAATCTTTTGTTTGCATCAACTTGCTTATTGGATTAATGGAATTTAGTACAATATTTTATGCCAAATAACTAGTGAACACAAAGACTTAAACTGTTTAATACAATTTAATAAACCCGACGCCTCGTCTCTTATTAACACATCAATATTTTTCTCACACTTACAGCCAAAATGGCACCCAGGCCCGCCGTAAGCGGGCGTGCAAGGCGTGCACCGCACACGGGCGGCACGTCCAGGGGCGGCAAATCGAGCGATTGGTCACGTAATAATTAGCCATTGTCATAATACTCACCCTACTTATAGCATAAGAAATGTCTTCGCATGGAGAAAAAAATCCGACTGGCGCGCAATTACTATATTCTTATTTATATTATAGCGTTAACAGCGCCTGTATTGGCATTTATCAGAATTAAGATGCAATGCGAAACGTCTGTCGGCAGGTTGAACCATCTGGCGGGCACCCGAAAGCCAAGTACCAATAGTCGTGCTGTATGATAGAAGTTGACAGGTTTGGCGAAAATAGGGAATCCCTACAGAGCTTCCTTCTCAATTTGTACTTGTACGCATTCGAACAGTTCTATTGCATATCAAATTGCAATTATTTTGTTAATAATTCTTCTGACATGGGTCGAAGTATAATTAATGATATTTTAACTTGGTTAGGATTTAAATCTGAAGCTTAAAGACGATTCAAGTAGTGAAACAGACATTGACAGTATTGATTTGTTTAATGAAATCAATACTTTAAAGTTGCATTTTCCAGAAAACCAGTCTAATGATCCACAAACCCCATTACAATATCTTTTTACTAATGACTTAATTTCAACAGTTCCAAACACAGCAATAGCACTAAGAATATTACTTACATTGCCGGTTTCAGTTGCATTTGGTGAAAGGTCCTTTTCAAAGTTAAAAATTATAAAAAACTATTTAATTAATTAATTAATTTAAGATCAACAATGCACCAGCAAAGACTAAGTAATTTAGTTTATAGCTATAGTTTCAATTGAACATGAAATCTTAGACAGCTTGGATACAAGAAAATTGATAGCAGATTTCGCAAACATGAAGGCAAGAAGAGTTCAATTTCTGTAGATAAATATTTATATGGTTTTACACTTAAGTAAATAAAAATAACTTAGTAATAATAAATAGTTCTTTTTGTAAAGTATTTCTTTTCTTTTTTCACACCTTTATGAGACAACACTAAAGAGCCTTTCTGGCAAGCTCAGCGCAGGAAGTCGTAGTTAAACAGGGGGCGGCATAATCGGTATTGCACACGGGCGTTCAAACAGCTAGCGGCGCCCCTGATGGAACCCCTAAACTTTGGCGCCCCGGCCAAATGTCCGGGTTGCCCGCCCCTAGAGCGGGCCCTGGTAGAAGATATGAAAGAAATCTATTTAAAATAAAACCAAGGAGTAAAGATAATAATAATTATATTTAAGCAAGTATCAACCGGCTGTAAATTGTAAAAACTAAAAATTTATTAATGGACTATATTAAAAAGTATTTTAAGCATCCAAGTAAGCTACTTGTGCTAATATCGGACTTCAAAATTTGGTCATAAAATATATTTTAAACGAGGAATTAATTATTGTGACATCGTCGCGAGCCTACACGAAGAGTTTGCAATCTTCAAAACAACATATTTCGTGTATAAATTTGTATTTTACCTCATAGTGCAAGATGTCGGCTAAAAGAAAGAACATGACTTCATCTAGAGGAAGCACCAAGAATCGAAGGAAGAGCAGCAGAATTGGAAACGTAGCTGCACTTGGAAGAGGAAAAAGAAGAAAGAACAAAGGTACGAAAGAAGTTCAGTGTAAAGGGATTAATTTGCTGGTGTGTTCTGAATCGGCTATATTAGAACTAAACGGTATGAATC